CAACTATAGGTCAGAGAAAGACTCTGCTGTTTGGCTCTCTTCGTGTCTTTTCACTTAAGATATTTGTGGGGTTATAGGAAGTATTCTAGGCTCGGAGCCAGAAGATCAAATCTTTGCCTCAGAAGAAAAATATGAACTGGATGGTTGAACATCCTGTGCCCAGATTATCTGACCATATACAGGATAGCCAAGGATACTTAGTTGGCCTTGGGTTGAACTTCTTACCCAAATGGTCTCCTGAATTAATGATAAATGAGGAGTCTTGAGAGATTGCCAGTTTCTGTGAATGTAAAAAGAGTATCCCGAGAAACCTATGCCTGGGAGTAGAGATTATTTACTATGTGACGTATAATTAATGGGTCCCAGTGGCATTGAAGTTGGGAACCAGTCATACATCCCTGAAGAACTAACGTGATCAGCAAGGAAGAGTTGAGTATGCAGATGCAGTAGGCTTCCCTGAGCTGAAATGATGCATACTCATGCTGGTATCATGTCTAGCATCCAAGCACACGTCTGGCTGTAGCTGGGCCTGGAAGCTGCATCTGGGTCATTGCAGCATTTCCGATGAGAATGCCTATGCTCTGCCAGCTCTTTCTCAGTATTGCATCATTTTCTGAACTTGAAGTTTGACCTGAAAGGAAAATTTTTACCTAAGATATATGTCTCATGAGTAGTTTTTGGGATGTCAGGCAATGTACTCAAAAAGAGATCACAAAATCCCCACAATCCATGAGTTTGAGGACACAGGGAGATGAAGATTTAGACTAAAGTTAGGGGAGATCTGAGGCTAGAGATACTAACAGAAGGGTGTGTGTGTGTGTGTGTGTGTGTGTGTGTGTATGTGTGTGTGTGTGTGTGTGTGTTCAGGGACAGGTGGGAAGCTTTGGGGATGGCCTGTAGGCTGCTACTGAGGTGCTGTGATCTAGGTCTTGGAGCAGGACCTTGGAAAGATACACAGTTCAGAAGGGCTGGTGTCCTTAAGAGGTTTTAAATATTTTTATTATCACCCCTGGACATCACTGCTAAATTTTTATAAATCTCACCCAGTAAGCACACAGGTTACTCTTCTCATGGTGGTATGGCAAAGCTTGGTTTCCAAGAGCTTTATCTTGGACTGTCCTTAATTTTTCCCTATGAGAACAGGAGAGCCTTCAGGGTAAGGAAAGAAGGAGGGACCGGTTCCTCCTCACCTACTTCCTCTCCGCATTCAAAATACCCTAAAAGGCACAGCAAACTTGTCTTCAGAGGTAGTCCATTGGAATTCATGGAATGTTAGCTCTGCCCTTACTGCTAGTATAATGCCTTCAGTGAAGGTAAAAGACCATTTGCTATATCAAGGGAAGATTCATAGTCAAAACCCAAGACTCCATACTGTTTCCCAGTAGCCCAGGTACAATCATCTGACTACAAAGGCAACTGTGTGAGGCAAATATGGGGAACTTTCAGAGCATGAGGGGTGGAATCTTCCTAGGAGAAAGAGTAAAGAGAGATAATTATAGGTGGAGAGGGGGATCAAGGCGTGAATCAAATGCATGTCTGTCTTCTTCACACCTGTTATAAGAAGTTTTTGGGGCCGGGCTCAGTAGCTCAGCCTGTATCCCAGCACTTTGTGAGGCCTAGGCAAATGGATTGCCTGAGCCCGTGGGTTTGAGACCAGCCTGGGCAACTTGGCAAGACCTCGTCTCTACAATAAATAAAAAAATAGCCAGGCATGGTAGTGTGTACCTGTAGTTCTGGCTACTTGAAAAGTGGCTGAGGTGGAAAGATTACCAGAACCCAGCAGGTTGATGCTGGGGAGGCTATGAATGTGCCACTGCACTCCAGCCTGGGCCACTGAGTGAGACTCCAACTCAAATATATATATATATATATATATCTTTTAAGTTTGGGGATGACAGAAGCAAGTAGTGGTGAGAAGTGGCCTAGGATTTGCTTTTCTGTGGCCTGTTTAGTCAACTCCATTTCCCTCCATCTTCCTATTCCTTCTTGCCCTAAGTAGCATGATGGTGGTTGTAGCATTTTCCCCACAGACTAGCATGGTGATTATTGGCACTAGGGCTAGAGATGCAGTGCTCGCCCCGACAGGTAGCTGGAGTCTCACTCGTTGCCCAGGCTGGAGTGCAATGGCCTCCACCTCCTGAGTTCAGGCAGTCCTTCACCCTCAGCCTTCCAAGTAGCTGGGAATACAGAAGCGTGCCACTATGCCCAGCTAATTTTTTGATTTTTGTAGAGACAAGTTCTTGCCGTGTTGCTCAGGCTGGTCTGAAACTCCTGGGCTTAGGCCTTCCTCTAGCCTTGGCCTCCCAAAGTGCTGGGATTACAGGTGTGAGCCACTGTGCCCGGCCTGTCTTCATTTTCATATCTGCTTGATTTGTTGCTTTCTAAGGGAAGTTTCCTGAATTCTCCCATGGGATTGTGGATTTGCCTGTTTTCTTTTTTTGTATTTCTATCAGCTTTTGCGATATATGTTTTGCAGTTGCCTTGTGCTGTGAGGAAAATTTATCATCTGTCTTGTGGGAAGATTCTGTATTTAGCAGATGTTCCCCTAAAGTTCTATTTTACCTCTTATTGATATTATTACTTTGTTCTCAGTTTAGCATTCACCTAGTATATCTTTTCCCATTCTTTTAATTCTTCTGTGCTATTTCAGATATGCTTTGTTATGCACACAATGTTTTTGTTCTGCCCCTTCAGCCCACATTCATAAGTTGAAGCCTTAACCCCTAAGCCTCCAACCCCCAATGGCATTTAGACTGGGGCCTTTGGGAAGTGATTAGATTAAATGAGGTAATGAGTATGGAGCCCCCATTATGGAATTAGTGTCTTTCTAAGAAAAGTAAGAGAGGCTGAGCCTTCTCTCTGTCTCTCTCACCAGCACATGGGAACATAGTGAGACAGCAGCCACCAATAAAATGAGAGAAAAGGGCTCAGGATGAAACTTACATTGTCAGCACCTTGATATTGAACTTCTCAGACTCAAGAACAGGGAGAAATAAATTTGTGGGGTTTTTTAAGTCACTCAATCTAAGGCATTTTGTTATGGAAGCTGGAGCAGACTAATACATGCTTCTTGGACTTTGTTTTTAAACTTAATTTAAGAGACAGATATTCTAACAGGAAAATTAATGTGTTCATTTTTATTGTGATTATTTATAATTGTGGATGTATTTGTGCCATATTAATATGGCTTCTTTCTCCTGCTTTCTTGTTGTTTTTTAAATTCAGGTGCATGATGAAATTTGAAAATCGTTGTCTTAATGGGCTGGAGAAGGGAACCTGGCTTGCCTCAGAGGAGGAAGCTGCCAGCTGAACTGTACTAAGGTGACCTAACCCCCAAACAACGCATAAACAACTTCTTCTGGAGACAGGGCCTGCCTAAGGCACCATTTTGAAATAGGCAAATATTATTTGCTTTCTTTTCTTTCATCATCTGTATTCATGCCTGCATCTTGAGTGCCAAAATAATAACTGTTTTCATATAAACCCAAGTTCCTGGTTTACTTTTTATCTAAGACTTTTTTTTACCCTTCAGCGTCCATGATGATGTGTTTCCTCTTTCATAGACCATACTTTAATTAGGTCAACATAAGTCAGCCAGGTCTTAGGAGTTTAACAGTCTGATTGTATTAATTAATACTAAGGTGTAACAGATATACCAGAGTCTTTTAAGATGAATTGGAATTAAAAATAAAAACCTCATTAACCTACATAATTATTTGATTGCTGGAATTGCACACTTTAAAGTCATATAGAAAATAAACATTAAATTTTGTGAATTTTTTTTTTTAGTGGAATGTTGAGGATAGGTGTTAATCACTAGTAGACTTTACCCCAAATTCAAGTCCATTAAAATTTCTTGTTTTACATATCTTTTGAAAATCTTTAAAATCTTTATCCATATCTATTCTATTAAAAAGAATAAAAATTCCTAAATTTTTTTTTTTTTTACAATGGCTTCGATGTCCATAGTAGTCCAAGTTCCAGTGGCAGAGTGACTGGACAGGGCCAAAAGAAGCCATTGTTATGTCTGTTTTGTTCCTGAAGTGTATTTTTTTTTAGATAAGGGATTATAAAATGGTAATATAAATTTTTTATCATAAAATTCTTACAGAACCTGGTGCATATGCTTTCCTTCATCTGGAATTTTCACCCCTTTTTTTTTGTTGAGCTCACGCCTACTCACTCTACAGTCTTCTTCTTAGTTGTTACTTAACCTAGGAGCTCTCCTGATCTCTGATTTTACCCCGAAGACAGTAGCGGTACATACATGAAGGGCTAAACTCATAACAAGATTCATAGGAAACACCTCACCCAGCACCAGGCTTCACTAATCATTAGGAAGTAAGAAAAAAAGTATGAAAAAGGAGGCAGAGAAAATACCATTTTCATAACAGAGGTGCCAAGTTTATTAGACTTGGTTCTCTGGATTCTCGTTCCTGCATAACAATGATGAAAGTTAGCCTAAGACAGCCACTTCTTTGGGGTCATCACCTTTTATACCTTTCTAGTCACTAAACTACCAGAATGACTCCATTCTTTAGTGTAGCGGTGACTTGTAAATCCACAGATAACAGCTATATTTATAATAAACAATCTACACAGATTAAGCACATCTTATTGACAATTTTATTAAAGTCCCTCGTTTATCTTTCAGACAGTAGATTTTATCAATCAAGTTTCATAAAGAGTTCTAATTCTTAGATGCAAGAACTGCCCCTGGCTTTCTAATTACATGTTTACTGGTAATCCCTTCCTACCCAACAACACAAATTTAAAGAGTATATTTAAAGAATATGCCCTCCCTTTCTTACTAACCCTACTCGAGGTTGTAAACTCCTCAAGAGCTTGGCTATGTCTTTTAATACCAAGTCTCCACATGAGAAGGGTTCCTGGCACATCATAAATGCCCAATAAACATTTGTGAGTGAAAAAAGCTATTTTGTAACTTATGTTTCAATATTAAGAGAAGGTTGCCCAAGATGGCTAAACAGCTTCACTGTTTAAACAAATGGAGCTAATTCCTGTGGGTAGCAGGTCCATTGGTGCCACCCACACGCAACCTCAGAAAAACCCAAAACCTTTGCAGTTTTTCGTGAGTTTATATTATCTTCCAGGATAGAGAGGTAAAATGGAATATTATTGTGATGCAGAAATTTCATATAATGCACCATCATTTCTTTCATTTTTCCTTAGTTTCGGTATCTTTCTATGGTGTGGGCCATTCCCATTTCACAAGAAGAGTCCATGGCGATCCATGAGACCAGGACTCCTTCTGGGTCCAAAAGACACTGTGTTGGCAGGGTCTGTATGCAGCGCTTGATGTAACGCAGGCTCCTCTCATTCTGACCGAGCCTCCAGCTGTCATTCACCAGCTCAGAATGACAGACATCCAGTTGGGAACACTTAAAATTGAGATCCTTACTGTAGAAAACAAAAACAAAATCTTTCATCCCCACTCTTGTAATTTCTGCATACCATTCCATTCTAGAGCTACCAGGACCTCCCTTCCTTGCTTAAAGACCCATCATTGCTAATTTTGCCCATTGATAATATTTATTTAATTTGTCCTCTTCTCCAAAACTGATTCGTGTGAATTACAAAACTCTATACGGAAAACAATGCTAAAGAAAAGTTACTGGAATGATTAGCATGTGTTCTTTGTACCTCTCAAATTCACCATCTGGGTAGCCTGCCTCACCCCACCTTGCAGGCTTGCTCTTAGAGGCATTGAGATTCAGGATGTCTTCCGTAATATAGAGGATTGCCTTCCTAGGGCTTACCCTCAGTGACTTAGAAAATGCAACCGCTTTTATCTCCTCATCCAAAGCTTCTTGAAAACCTGGGAAAGTAAGAAAGCAATATTGTCAGTGATTGAGTCCTCTACTTCTGCTGCTTCCACCTGATTAATAGCTCAATGCAAATGCTTAGTGGTTCTCAAACTTGACTTTATACCAGAATCATTTGGAGCCCTTGTTACACTACAGATTGCTGTACCTTCCCAGACTCCAGTTTCTGAGAAAGTACGTTTCTAATAAGTTATCAGGCAATGATAACGTTGTTAGTTGAGGACCCAATTGGAGAAGCACTGCTATTGTCCATTTCATCTGATTTGTTACCTTGAATTCGGAGTATCTGTTTCCAGTTTATGACTTCATAATTTTTCAAGACTTCTTGTAATTTTTGAGGCTCTTTGGAAAATATATGGTATATGTTTGTGTATGGATCCAGGTCGACAGTCATCTAGATGGAATGGTGAAAGGTCAGAACATTTCCTTGAATTTTTTCCTCACCTCTCACTTATTGAAATTGTCAGAAAAAAACAATTGAAAATAAAATTTTAACAGTGGCCTGCGATGGCTGCAGTCAGACATATGGATGATAAAACCTGGGTCTATAAACTAAAGCTCACCTCTTGCCTGTGTAACTGGAGTTTGTTGAGTACTTCACTGACAAGTACTGGCTTTAAACTTGCTTATAAGATGTATTACAAAGACAGTATGAAATTAGTTACCCACTACCAGATCTTAAGACATCTAACTTTTCTCCCTACCTATTTAGCTGCATATTTATCTTATCTTGTGGACAGCATCACTGAGCACCAGTTGGAATCACAAGAATGTAACTATGGCTTCAAACCTCCTTTTCCCACCTTCCGTGTCTGTTAGAAAATGTGTATCTCCTGTGCCTCATGTAACCTACTTCGGGATACATTCTCAGTCTATACTGAGTCTGTGTTCCTGTACTTACATGCTCAAACTTGGCTTAGGATAAATCTAGCCGTGATTTCTTTTCAGATGACAAGATTGACTGAGACGTTAGTGGATACAAATGTTAATGAGACATTGCCTTTTCCCAAGCATATGGGATATCAGCCTATTAGAATAATACAGTAAGTCCCATACATGCAAACAAATTCCATTCTGAGAGCCTAGATACACAACTAACACAACTGGCAATATAGTACTGTTCTGTAATAGGTTTATAATAGCTTTTCCACAAATGATACATACAAAACAAGCAAACATAAAAATTAAGAAAACATTTTTAATCTTACAGTATGGTACCTCGATCTTACAGTATAGTACCTTATATGATTGGATATGTAAATATATGTTTGCGTTTTTGAAAGTTCGCAACTTAAAGGTTCATATATAGGAAACTTACTGTAATACCTTCTTCAAAGCCAGAAGCCTACAAAATAGAATCAAGTAATTGGAGTTTTGAGTAGTACTCTGGGCAGTTTATGTGGTATTATACTCTTGGGGTTGGAATAAAGAGACTTGAGATCCCGTTCTGGCAAGCCACAAACTTCATGGAAAGATGAGTATCTGTTTCTAAGGAGAAAAGTTTTAGTAATTAATGTATTATGCTGGAAACTATATTGTTAAAGAGTGAAACATAAAATAGGATAACTCATTTTAAGTAAACCTTCAAGAATTTGAGGGTGCTTTTATAAATGCAGGGTTTCAAATGTGGCCAAAATCAAAACTTCAATAAATTTTAGATAGTAGATATTTTAAGAGATTAGATTTTAAAAGAACAACTGAAATTAGACAAAGTAAGTATTTAAGGAATTATAAAAAGAAGGTAAAAATGAACCAGAAGAAAACCAAGAAAATAATTAATAAAACTGAAAACTGAAAATAATGAAATGGAGAACAAGACATAGTGTAACAGGTATATAAAGCCAAAAATTTATTTTTAGATGGCAACAAAGAGATAAACTTCTGTTAAGGCCTTTAAAGGACAAATCAGATAAAGAGAAAAAAGAAAACAAAACTCATAGAGAACTAGAAATGAGAGAGAAAACAGAGAAAGGAAGAAAAGAAGAGTATATGCTGCTCCAAGGCAACAAAGCAATATATTTACTGATAAAACAAATGGATGATGTCCTTCAAAAATCAACTATCAAAATTGACCTTCAATGAAACAGAAAACCTCAACAGTAATAGAAAACATTGTAAATAAAATTAAATAAAATAAATGGCACTTAAAAAGCTGCCAACTCAGAGTATTTTCATTTAAATATCACATAAACCAAAAATAAACACATACTTTTAATATAAGACCATGGTAACAGATGGAAAGACACCAATCCCAAATCTGGCAAGTAAATAGCAAAAAGAAATTTACTGATAAAATTTACTTATGGAAGAAATAAGAATTTATGAATGCAGATGCAAAAACTCTGAATAAAATATTCAGTAATATAGAAAAGGAATGTGAACATTTTGAGTTTATATGTAAAGTCAAGAATGACCAACAATATTCATCTTCAGGAGACATATCTCACCAGAATGGACACTCATAGGCTCAAAGTTGAAGGATGGAAAACAAAAGAATCTTAATATCAATCTTAATATCAAACAAAACAACCTGTAAGCTATCAAAATTTTAAAAAGATATGGAAAGGCACTGTATAATGATAAAAAGTTCACTCCATTCTAAACATATAGAGCACCAGCTTTATATAAAGCAGCAGCTACTAAGTAATCTAAAACAAAATATTGACTAACACTATCATAGCTGGGGACTTAAATACTCCACTAACAACCCTAGATAGATCTTTGAGGCAAAAAAATCAACAAGGAGATCTGGAACCTAAACTTCATGCTTGATCAGATGAACTTAATAGACACCTACAGAACACACCACCCAACAACCATGGAATATACATTCTACACATCACCCCATGGAACATGCTCCAAGATTGACCACATCCTTGGCCATAAAACAAGTTAAACAAATTTCATAAGATCAAAATACTGCCATGCACCACCTCAAATCACAGTGGAATCAAAATAATTAGCAACACCAACAAAATTCCCCCCAAACCCACAAAGACATGGACACTAAACAGCATGAAGCTGAGCAACTCTTGTTTATCACAGAAATCAAAGCAGAAGCTAAAATATTCCTGGAAACAAATGAAAATAAAGACACATCTCACCAAAACTCTGGGATGCCATAAAATCAATACTAGGAGGGGAATTTATATCTCTATGAACACAAATCAAGAAAATAAAAAGAAAACAAGTTAACAGCCTAACAGATAATCTAAGGGAGCTGGAAAGGCAAGACCACTAAAACCCTAACTTCAGCAAAAGAATTCAGATCAACAAAGTAAAAGCTCAAACACAGGACATGGAAGACAAAAATATCATAGAAAAAAAAAAAAATCAATGAAACAAAAAGCTGGTTCTTTGAAAGGATAAACAAAATCGATGGACCTCTAGCCAGATTGACCAAGAAAAAGACAGAAAAAGCCCAATAAGCACAGTCAGAAATGCAAAAGATCAAGTTACAACTGACCCTGAAGAAATACAAAAGATTACCTGAGATTACTATGCACACCTCTGTGGAAACAAACTCAAAAACCTAAATGAAATGGAGTACTTTCTGACATCACACAACCTCCCAAAGTAGAAACAAGAAAAAATTCAGACCCTAAATAGAGCAATAACAACCCAGGAAGTTGACTCCATCATAAAAACTGAAAAAAATTTTTTAAAATTACCTTCAAAAAAGGACCTGGACCAGATGACTTTCCAGCAGAATTCTACAAAACATATAAACACGACCTGATATCAATCCTATTGAAAGTATTCCAGGCAATTGAAAAAGTTGAAATTCTCCCCAAATCATTTTATGAAGCTAACAACACATTGACACCCAAACCAGGTAAAGATCCAACAGAGAGAACTACAGGGCAATATCCCTCATGAACATAGATGCAAAAATTCTTAACAGAATTCTAACAATACAGATCCAACAACACATCTCAAAAGTCATCCACCATGACCAAGTAGGCTTCATCCTCAGGATGAAAGGCTGCTTCAACATTTGCAAGACCATAAATGTAATTAAATACATCAACAGACATAAAAATAAGAACCACATGATTATATCATCAGACACAGAAAAAGCTTTTGTTAACATCTGGCACCACTTCTTGATTAAAAATCCCTGAACACCTAGGCATAGAGGGAACATACCTCAAAATAGTCAGAGCTATCTACAGTAAACCCACAGCTAACATATTGCAAAACAGACAGAAATTGGAAGTATTTGCCCTGAAAACTGGAATAAGACAAGGCTTCCCACTCTCACCCCTCCTATTCAACATAGTGTTGGAAGTCCTAGTTAGAGCAATCACACAAGAGAAGGAAATCAGGGACATCTAAATAGGAAAAGAAGACGTTAAGTTATCCCTCATAGCTTATGATATGGTCCTATACCTTGAAAACCAAAGAGAATCTGTCAGAAACCTCCTTGTGCTGATAAAGGACTTTGGTAAAGTCTCAGGATGCAAAATAAATGTGCAAAAGACAGTCGCATCCTTATATACCAACAACAAACAGGCAGAGAAACAAATCAAAAGCACAGTCTGATTCACAATAGCCACAAAAAAGAAAGAAAGAAAGATGTATCTCGGCATCTTCCTAAACAGAGAGGTGAAAGACTTTACAATGAAAACTACAAAATACTGCTCAAAGGAGACAAAAGCAAATGGAAAAATATTCCATGCTCATGAATAGGAAGAATCAACATTGTTAAGATGTCCATCCCACCAAAGTCAATCTACAGATTCAATGCAATACTCATTAAATTACCAACATCATTTTTCTCAGACCTTGAAATGACAACACAGAAATTCATATGGAAACATAAAAGACCACGAATAGCCAAAACAATCCTTAGCAAAAGAAACAAAGCAGGAGAAATCACACTTCCAGATTTTAAACTTTATAATAGGTTACAATAATCAAAACAGTCAGGTATTGAGAAGAACAGACACATAGACCAATGGAACAGGATAGAGATTCCAGAAGCAAAACCTCAATTTCTCAATGAATTAATCTTCAACAAAGTCCCCACCAACAACCACTGGGAAGAGGAGAACCTATTCAGTAAATGGTACTGGGGAAACTGGCTGATCACATGCAGAAGATTGAAACAGGACACCTAACTATCACCATATACAAAAATCAACTCTAAATGGATCAAAGACCTAAACATAAAACCCCAAACTATAAGAATCCTAGAAAACACAGGAGACACCCTTATGGAAATTGGAATAGGCAACCGATTCCTGATCAGAATCACAGAAGCCCATGCCATAAGAGATAAGATAGACAAGTGGGACCTCATCAGACCGAACAGCTTTTGCAAAGCAAAAGCAGCTATGAAGAGAGTGGGGAGACAGCCCACAGAAGGGGAGAAAATATTTGCCAACTGTATATCTGACAAAGGTCTAATCTAACATCCAGGATCTACAAGGAGCTCAAACATGCCAAAGTAAATAAAACAAACAGCCCTTAAAGAGATATGAATAGACATTTCTCAAAAGAAGATACATGAGCAGCTAACATACACATGAAAGAATGTTCAGCCTCACTAATCCCCAAAGAAAAAATGTACTGAGATACGGCCTAACTCCAGTCAGGATGGCCATCATCAATAACTCAAAAAGCGGCAGATGCTGGAGAGGATGTAGGGAAAAAGGAAAACTTCTACACTGTTGGTGGGAGTGTAAATTGGTACAACCTCTGTGGAAAACAGTTTGGGGATTCCTCAAAGATCTAAAAACTGACCTTCCATATGATCCAGCAATCCCCCTCTGGGAATATACCCAGAGGAATTCAGATCATTTTCTTTTTTTTAGTTGGAGTCTTACTCTGTTGCCCAGGCTGGAGTACAGTGGCAAACTCATGGCTACTCCAGCATCGACTGCTGGACTCTGGCAATCCTTCCACCTTAGCCTTCCAAGGAGCCGGAACTACAGGCACGCACTACCATGCCCAGCTAATTTTTTATTTGTTGTAGAGACGAGGTCTCACCAAGTTGCCCAGGCTGGTCTTGAATCCGTGGGCTTAGGCAATTCACTCACCTCGGCTGGGATTACAGACTGAGCCACCGAACCCAGTGCTGGGACTACAGTGCTGGGATTACAGGCTGAGCCACCGAGCCCAGCCAATTTTATAAAAAGATACATGCACACACATGTTTATTGCCTCATTATTCACAATAGAAAAAAAACATGGATCCAACCATGCTGCGCATCAATAGTGGACTGGATTTTTTAAAATGTGGTACATATGCATGATGGAATACTACACAGCCACACCGAAGGATAAAATTATGGACTTCACAGCAACTTGGATGGATTTAGAGTCTGTACTACTCAGTGGTCTATCACAGAAACAATAAAGTGAATACCACATATTCTCACTCATAAGCAGACCCTGAACATTTGTAATAATACTATAAGAAAGGGATTGGCAGTTGCAGGAAACTGCTGGGGATGGGGCGCACATAATATTAATAAGCGTACCTGACTGCAAATCAGGCAAAGTGGGAACCAAAGGGAGACCTAAAGTTTACCTGTATAATGACCACTTATCTACCTAATCCCAAATTGTACTCCACATCTTTAAAATAAAGAAAAATCAGTTTTTAAAAAAGAAAATCAAGAATGGCTTAGATCAGAAGATCTTTCAGTGTAGTAAGTTAAAGGAGGAAAATATTCATGAATTGTGGGAATAGTATAAAAATACTCTAAACATATAAAGACAGAATCAAACAATTTCAAATGTAAATTGTTATAACCATTTCATTAAAATCAGGAATGATTTTTAAGGTAACAAGAACAGGACTATTATTGTTGTAGTTGATATTGTTTTCTTAGGCAAAGAAGCAGCAAATTATCTTTGTTTGTAGATTATGGTATTATGCATTTAGAAAAATCTAAGTGACTTTGACCAAAAACAAACAAACAAATGAAAACCTCACATAGACAGGATTCTTTTTTTTAGTTGGAGTCTCACTCTGTAGCCCACACTGGAGTGCAGTGGCCGCTCCTGGCCACCGCTGCCTCAAACTGCTGGGCTTCAGTGATCCTTCCGCTTCAGCCTTTCAAGTAGCTGGAATTACAGGCACGTCCTACCACTCCGGCTAATTTTTTTTTTTTGAGTTTGAGTCTCACTCTGTCACCCAAACTGGAGTGCAGTGGCCACTCCTGGCCACCGCAGCCTCGATCTGCTGGATGCCAGTGATCCTTCCGCCTCAGCCTTCCAAGTAGCTGGAACTACAGGCACGCGCTACCACACCCGGCTAATTTTTGATTTATTGTTGAAATAGGTCTCACCAAGTTGCCCAGGCTGGTCTCGAACCCGTGGGCTCAGGCAATCTCAGCTTCCCAAAGCACGGGATTACAGGCTGAGCCACCGAGCCTGGCTATAGACAGGATTTTAAAGAACAGTATGGCATAGTTGGAAAGTAAGGACACAAATAAAAATCAATAACAAAAGAATAATTACCGGAAATAGAAGAGAAAAAAGAATTCAACATTATTAACAAATAGCATAAAATATCTAAGGATGATTTTAATGGAAAATCATATGACTTATCCAAGGAAAACACTAAAATTTTTACTCTGTAAATTGGAGATATTAATGCTCACTTCATGAGGTTGTTCTTATGACATTCACTAATAGAATGTAAGCTAATTGTCCAGGCATAGGTCCTTGACCCCCTATACCTGGCTTCTTACTGCCCCCTTTCTCAGGGAGCAGCCTCTGGCCAAGAGTGGCCTCTGCAGGATATACATATTCCCAGTTACAGAGTGCAAGTAATTAAGCAGAGCTGAGAACAATGTAGGTGGCACTTTTACTCACTGTGATTGTAACCACCTTGTAGCAAGATGAATAATGGACTTGCTTGAATATAAAACTGTTCTACTTTCCTGAGGTATGGATCCTTTCTTCACGGACCAACTGCCATCAGTGCCTATTGCGAGTTCTAATAAACCAATCAATGTATTTTCCTGCTGGACTTCTGGGTGATTTTTTTGGGAATGTGTAAAGAACCTTACACGCAAGCCCTCTCAGATTTGGGGCTACCATGTTACACAGGGGAAGTGCTTTCACATAGTGGACCTACAGTAATTATGAGTCCCTTCTCTGGTCCCTGAGAAGCAACTTTTACTATTAGACTTTGCTCTGGATTTCATTTCTAAGTACCCATTCTTATGTCCCAGTCACCCACTTTTTCCTCTAGATTGTCCTCCTTTCAGCCCCTGCAGCTGATATGTACCATTTCAGTGAGCCCTTAATCTGCCAGCCTAGTCCTCCTCCCCCTCCTCCTCCTCCCATCCTGCCCTTGCCCAGATGAATTCTATGTTCTGAATGGAAAGTTGGGGATGTGGAGTTCCTCCAAAGTACCAGGAATGAATGAGTGTCTTTAAAGTACCCACATTTTCTTTCACCCTCACCCTGGTGAGTCTGAACCAGTCAGTTCCTTGGGCTCTTTGGAGCTGCCTGGCTTCCTCTCTTCCTGTCTGTTTGCCTACCTGTTTCTGAGGCCGGATAATAACAGTTCGATATTCAGGCCAGGAGTCCACCAGCGCCTCCATGTTGAAGGGGTTTCCGTGATTGATGTAATATACAGATCCATACACCTGAATGAGGAGTGGAAAAGAGTAGGGGAAGTTGGAATCCTTAGAGATGAGGACCTGAATGTGGTGAAGTAGAAAGAAATGGAGGTCAAGAGAGGGTGCTGAGGCCAAGTCAGTGAAGGTAAGATGACCACTGTCTCCAGACCCTATCCATGGAAGTAAAGCTACCAGCAAGCAGGCAGAAGAACACGTAGGTGTCCTTGTGAGAACAAAAAGCTATTGTGCCCTCACTGGGCACCTGTGATATTCTTAGTACTTACATTGTAAGGATTTATTTAGTTCTCACAACAACTTTAAGAGGTAGAGGCTAATCTTATTCCCATTTCACAGATGAAAAGACCAAAGATAAGTCACAGAAAGGTGAAGAAACATGCCCAAAACCCGCTCAACTAGAAAATGGCAGACTTGGAATGCATGCCCATTCACTCTGGCTCCAAAACCTATGCCCTTGCCCGTTTTTCTCCATTGCTTCTTCCAATAAATTGCAAAACCTGCAGAACGGAGTCAGATTCCTCCTCCTAAGGAGATGCAGCAGCTTTTGTGCCTCCTCCATCCCCAACCCCATCCTCGCTTGTAGCTTCGGCCCCCTCTGCAGAAAGTCAGGGAGGAAGGAACAGAATGATGAGCCTGCTCTTTTCTCATCTCAGCACCTCCACTTCTACACCCTGGCCTCCTGCTGGTCCTTCACCTTCAGGGACTCAGGGATGCTCCTGGCCAAGGATTTGTATAGGGTCAGCAGCTTCTGGGAATTATTCAGTAGAAGCATTTTGCGGAGGTGCTTCAGTCCTTGAGCCCTTCAAGGAGAAACTCTGAAAAAAAATAAAATGTACAAGGAGAATGTTAAAGGATCAAATGAGTTTAAAATGCACTTTATAAAAGTAATACTCATGAGGTAGGTACTGCTAGTATCATCTTCATTCTGAGCACACCACAGTTCAGAGAGACTAAGTAACTTCTTCATGTTCTTCCAGAAATGAGTGGCAGAGGCAGATTTTGAACCATATACGGATGACTCCAAAATCCATGCTCTTCCCTCCTGGTGGAATGAGTTAAAAGAGAATATTAAGTGATCTGTAAGGTTCCCAAATGCCTGTAGTAGGGCCTTCTATCACCACCATCAGAACCCTTTTCCTGTATCTTAGTCATTAGATGCCCAAGAAGCTTTTATTTTCATTTATAATAGAGACTATCAGCCCTCCAAGGCCAGTTGTGAACGGAAAACTTAGAGTAGGGATTGGCAACGACTTTTTAGCTCCCTAGGGTTAACTAGGAAATATTTTAGGCCTATGACCAATTTAAAAAGTGCCCCAGTTTCATTACAAAAATTGAAAGACAAAAGACAATTTTTGATACATATTTATAAAGGTCAGTTATCCTTAGAAATGTGCCACAATTTAACAATAACTTGGAGAAGACCATAGGCATAACTGATAGTGGTTCAAACTCAGACTGGTTTCCAATTTTAGCTCTGCCTCCTACTTCTTTGTCAGGGTACTTAACCAATCAGGACCTCACAATTTTTTCTCACCAGGAAACTAAATATTAGAATGTATGCTCTTCAGAGTTATGGAATTATACAATGTAATGCATGCAAGATACCATGTTACCTGGCATAAAGTAAGCACAGTATTTAACACATGTTAGTTTTTTTTTTTTTGAGTTGGAGTCTCACTCTGTCGCCCAGACTGGAGTGCAGTGGCCACTCCCGGCCACCGCAGCCTCGACCTGCTGGGCTCCGGCAATCCTTCCGCCTCAGTCTTCCAAGTAGCCGGAATTACAGGCATGCGCTACCACGCCTGGCTGATTTTTTTTGATTTATTGTAGAGATGAGGTCTCGCTGCCCAGGCGGGTCTTGAACTCGCGGGCTCAGGCAATCCACTCACCTCAGCCTCCCAAAGGTGCGGGATTACAGGCTGAGCCACCAAGCCCGGCTCACATGTTAGTTTTTAAATTGACTTTGTATCAACCAACATGTCATCTATACATTTAGCAAGTATATCCAATAACTTGTTGATGAAAAGATGCCAAACTCTGTAAAATATTCTTAAGATGGTTTCCTAGGACATAATCCTGGCTATAAAATCAGGCCTGATCATGTTCTTCTCCCATAATTTATCACCACTAATGTTGAAACTATTGTCCCCAAATAGACAATTCTCAGAGTGTGCTCCTAGCACCATGAGACCTTGCCAGGCAAACAAAATAGACAACCTTAGGAATGAGCCTTCTTAGCAATGTGGGACCTCCTGCTACTTATTGGCCTACATGTGTATTCCAAGGAATGATTTTTGGCCAAAAAAGAGGGGTCTGAGGACTAAACTCTGACCTTTTTTATTCGCTTATACAAATTTGTGGGAAATGTGGGGAGTCATGCCTCATATAGACTCACCAGAGGAAATTTTATTTTCCTGTATACTGAAGTTTGTTTTCTAACCTGACTCTGATATAATATCACACAACAGATACAGAAGGAAATTGAAATGTTTTATGATCCTAGGAAGCCGTCTTCTGGGAACTCCCAGACTTTGGGCATTTTATCCTCTTCTGATTTCCAAAATTTCTTAGATAGGAACTATAAATTGCCAGTCAATAAATTCTTTTTTTTTTTATTTTAAAGATGTAGGGTACAATTCAGGATTAGATATACAAGTGGTCATTGTACAGGTAAAGTTTGGGCCTCTCTCTGGTCCCCACTTGGCCTGGTTTGAGATCAGGTACCCTTATTGATGTTGTGTCCCACCCACCACATCCACCCCAGTATATCCCACTACTGTAAATCCCTTTCTTAAAGTATTATGGTAATTGTTCAGGGTCTACTTATGAAGAAATTCTCAAATCCATCTATAACCTGCAAGCTCCTGCTTGGAAATGTCCCTCCTTGCCAGGCTGAACCAATGACAGTCTCACATGTATTGATTTTTGGTTTTTGTAACTTCTGCCTCCCCAAAATATATATAACCAGGCTGCAGTCTGACCACTTCAGGCACATGTTCCCAGGCCCTCCTGGGGACAGGTGTCTCAGGCCTGGTAACTCATGTTGACCAGAATAAATTATCTTAAAATATTTTACAGAGTTTGGCATCTTTTCATGAACAAATGTAAAAAAAAAATAATTGAAGACATGAAGAACTTATGAAGCTAATTAATATAAGAGAAAGAACCCATGGACTGGATACGTGAAACAGTCATTATGAAATTAGTTAATAATATAGCTTGCAATTTTTTAATCTATGGAGGTGAAATAGTTAACAAATATGTAATAATGAACAGGCACAGTAAAACGTATTTTGTCCTCCCTGGAGTCAAGGTTCTGGAAAATTTACACTCTGTTCTGTAGCTTGATGAAGCAATCTTTAAACAAAGGCATCCTGTTGCATGAGTTCAGAATTTCAGAATGTTTGAATGCAGATATTACAAATAATAAGGCATATCTATGTACCTGTAGACTCAACCATGTATGGTTAATAAAGCATAGGTGCCACACATTGTGTAAAATATGCTACTTTGGATAACCCACACACTTGTGTTTGAAACAGTAACAGGGTCTAGAGAAAAAAAAAAAAAAGTAATCCCTGACTGGTTACTTTTTTGAAGAAATAAATTTGTTATAGTTCTCAGTGATTAATTTTTAAAAATAAACCTTGCTATTGTTTCTGAGTTTAAAAAAAAAAAAAAAGAATCTTTTAGCAAATAGAACTGGTTCTCTGACAGGAGTCTACCCCCTGCCTTCTTATGCCATTCCTGTAGCAGTCAGAAAAAGCTGACCTTTTATTTTATTTTTTCCAACTCCAAGTGATTTTCTTGCTCTCTGTTTCTTTATTGATTTATCTAAAATTGCCTAAACTCATGTGTTTCATTGTTGCTTTCTCCTTTGAATGTTTGGTCAAGTTTTTAAACGTTTTAATTCAAGATCTACCATGCTTTATCAAACCCTCCAAAGAACTTGTGTTCCAGTTGCCCTGAGAACATGAGAAGAACACATATTTGCTCCTCCTACACCAGTCAGCTGCTACATCTTTCCCCAAAATATGTCCCATTCATTCCCTACTCCATCCCTCTGCCATATCCTTTATTCAGGCCTCCTCCTCCTCATATTATAAAATTGCTTTTATCACCTTACATGGGCCTCCGCTTCTAACATGCATCCAAATAAAATATTTTTCCACCCTTACCATCCAATTTCCCTTTCTAAATCAGAAAACTGCTTAAGAACATGGGTAGACACTTTCCCCCACTCTTTTAAAATTGTGATAAAGTATACATAATATAAAATCTACCTTTTTAACCATTTTAAGTGTACAACTCAGTGGCATTAAGTATATTCACAATGTTGTGCAATTCTCACTACTATCATTTCCAGAACTTCTTTGTCATCTCAAACAGAAACTGTACTATTAAACATTTACCCATCCCTCCTCCCCCTAGTCCTTGGTTGCCTCTGTTTTATTTTCTGTCTCTAGGAATGTGTCTATTCTAGTTACTTTATATAAGTGGAGTCCTACAATATTTGTCCTTTTGTGTCTGGCTTATTTCACTTAGCTTGATGTCTTCAAGATTCACTCATGTTGTAGCATATGTCAGAATTTCATTTCATATAATTTTTTGCCATTGTTAATTTAAAGTCAGTCTTATCTGATATGAGAATGGCTACTTCTGCTCAACTTTTATTTCCATTTGTATGGAATATTTTCTCATCCCTTTACCTTGAATCTATAAGAGTCTTTGTGTGTTAAGTGGGTCTCTTGAAGGCGACAGATATTTGGATTGTGTTTTTTACTCCATTCTGTTATTCTATATTTTTTTAGTGGAGCATTGAGATCACTTACATTCAGGGTTAACAATGGTATGTAAGGTACTATTTCATTTATCATACTAGTTGTTATCTGGTTACTTGTTTGTTTTATTTATGTATTTATGTATTTATTTATGTACTTATGTATATATGTCTTTATTTATTTTCTCTATTGTGTTAGTGTTCTATGAGCCCTGTGAGCTTTGTGATTTCCAAGTGGTTATCTACTGGTGTATTTTGACCTTTTGTTACAGTATTTAGAATTCCTTTGAATGGTTCTTGTAGAGCTGGTCTAGTATGACAAATTCCCTCACTGCTTGTCTAAGAAAGACTTCATTTCTCCTTCACTTATACAACTTAGTTTTTCAGGGTACAGGATACTTGGTTGAGTTTCAGTATGTTTGAGGAGATTGAAAATGAGGTCTCCCAATCCCTTCTGAACTGTAGGTTTTCTTCTGAGAATTCTGCTGTTAGTCTGATAGGCTTAACTTTAAAATTTATTTGATGCTTTTGTTTAAGTGCTCTTAAGTTTCTTTCTTTCACATTAACTTTGCATAACCTGATTATTACATGTCTTTGAGATGACTTTTTTTGCAATGAATCTTCTGGGGGTTCTTTGAGCTTCTTGTGTCTGAATGTTTAAATCTCTGACAAGGCCAGAGAGGTTTTTCTTCATTGTTGCCCCAAATTGCTATTCCAAACCTGTCACTTTATTTTCTTCCTCAGGAATACCTATGATATTTAGTTTTGTATGTTTTGCATAATCTCACATTTCTTGGAGACTAGTTCTGTTTTCTTGGTTTTTTAAATTCTTTCTTGTTGTCTGTGTTAATTCAAAAGCCTTGTCTTATAGCTCTGAGATCCTTTCTTCTACTTGTTCTAGTCTGCTGTTGAAACTTTCCACCAAATTTTGTACTTCCCTACATGGTTCTTTCACTTCCAGAATTTAATCTTGTTTGTTTGTTATTTATTTATTCTACTTTTTTAAGGAGCCATCTCTTGGGAGAATTTTTCACT